TATATTATTATCAGTTTTATCATGTGACAAAACCCAAAACATAGTAATGTTAAAACGTTATGTCGGCATCACTAGTAATAACTTTAAAGCAATAACATTGCCTTTAAGGCTTTATCTTTTACCGGAGGCTTTATTCTTTATAGAAGGCTTTAACTTTTATCAGAAATTTCGCCATCTATAAGAAATTTGTCTTTATATAGGTTTTTGCAGGTTTTACAGGTTTTGCAGGTTTCGCAAGTTTTGTCAGTTTCGCCAGCGGTTTTGTCATAGAGAGTAGGTTTCGTCTTTTGTAATTTTGCAAAAAGGTTTTGTTTAACAAAATAAAACCACACTATTTCCACATATTGCTAGTTACAGAATTGAATTTACTTCTCTATAAACAGAGTTTTCATAATTTAAAAATTTTAAAAATCTTATATATTAAATTTTATTTACTCGCTGCACTATGATAGTAAATAATTTGATGTGTCATGGTGAAACTGGTGACTATCTAAAATCTGATTGGCTGTTATATTAAATTTCACCAGTTTCACCCAATTTCACCAGCATCTATAGTCACATCCCAGTTTGAAACCCTTGCAGTGGTTTCAGACCTAAGAAAGTGGTTCGAGACCCATGATAGTTGATCTGAGACTCTTGGATGCAAAATAAAATAGCACTTACCACTTTGAATCAAAATAAATAAAGAGATAACTTTCCATATAATAAAAGACCCGATAACATTAACCTCTGTTACGCCCAAAATTGGGAGAACAATGTTTGTGTATAGCAAATTAGCTTTGGGCGCAGAATAATTCATGCGGCTGAGTATTTTATTACATTCTTCCAGAGAACGATACATTATATATATACTTATATCTACAAGCACAATTACTATAATGAGATAAGAGAAAATGTACTATTTACAGAATATTTAGTAATTGGAATGCTATAATGTAAAAATAATGTAATCGATTACCGAAAATGAAGTAATAACTTTGACATGATAATGTAGTAACGATCTTCATAATATAATATGAAGCAATAAAATAACATAACGATGACAAAATAAGTATATGCTCAAAATCTCTACAAAATCGTTATACTATATTTTAAGAGTGTTGCCAACCTGCGTAAGGATCAACGACTTTAAAGGCAATAACCCAAAATCGACATCAACGATATAAAAACACCACTACGTGTATAGTGGAAGGAACCTGCCAACTAAAATTAGCTTCTTTAACTGCCCAACCATAAGCTTATGTCTGTGACATTGTGCTAAATCAGCGTTGTAGAAGTGAATTCTCTCTTGTTGTCACAACACCTTCTGTCACATACAGAAAATCAAATTTATGTGCCGGGATAAACTTGAATATGTTATACCTTATTGTATCATTACTGACATCCACTGAAACAATAGCCAGAAGATTGAATCACACAATCAAATTGGTACACGTAATAATTCGTGGGCACTAGGAGAAATTTTTATTGTTAACACAAAACCAAATAACAAATTTCAAAATCAATTAATTAATTACGAAAGTGCTGAAAAAAAAACCCCGAATATTCGATATAGGATTTATGCATATCAACATATAAGTACAAAATTTGCAGCCTGGAGATTTTGTAAGATTTTGGGTTCAATCTAATCTTTTGAATGGTTGCAATTATATCAAATGAGATGAAATAAAATTGTAACTATACCGTTTAAAGATAATTTAAATCAATAGGGGAATCTAATTTGTACAGAATTAGATAACATATTCTTTTTCAAATGAGCTTCATTTTCCAATAAATTTGAAATGATAGCCTTTGTCATTGAGAAGTTTACTTATTTGTTAAATGGGAAAAGCCTCGAACAATGACAATGGAGCAATCTAGATGCATAACCATTTTTCATTTACGTACGGTGCGGGAAATTTTAAATTAATTGAGATTTTTAGATTTATAACTAACTATTAATGCATACTGTACTGATGAAAAATAAGTCACTACTGAATTTAGTTTATTACCGGTGTTTGATCTTTATTCCATATAAAACGATTGAGGTTTTTAAGATTTGTAACTATTCTATGCATACCACTAATAGAACTTAGAATTACCCACTACAAAATGATTGAGATTCTTAGATTTATTCAATGCATACTGTACTGCTGAAAAATAAGCCACTACTGAATTTAGTTTATTACCGGTGTTTGATATTTATTCCATATAAAGTGATTAAGGTTTTTAGATTTGTAACTATTCTATGCATACTGCTGAAACTTAGAATTACCCACTACGTACTGAATTGGTTTATTACCGGAATTAGTTGATCTTTATTACATATATAAAGTGATATAATTCCTGTACCGTACGTTGTGAAAGGCGGATCCTTGTAATACAACAATGCACTACAACACTACACTAAACTACTCTAACTAATACTAAACCCTAATAATGGTAAGGGGCTTGGTCCGAGTAACTAGGTCACTTAGAGCTCTAGACTACACCACGAGTCTCTTAATACGAAGTCACGGGATCTGGTCACTGATTCCTATCGTTAATACAGATTTTACTTATTGGGAGGAATTAGTAGAGCCAAACACTTATCAATGTTGAACTTTAACCGAGTTGTCTTTATTGAATACGAAAAGGTGTTACTTTTTTACTTTCGCACTATTTGTACACAGTGAATATATTCGCCAGATTCGACAACTTCCCTTTCACAACGTACGTACGCACGTAATGCGCAGGCTGTGCAGCCTGCGCATTTAAACACTAACCCAAAAAGTATTATAACGAAGCTTGCACGTAGCGATAATATCTGAGCAAAAAAAAATGCAATAATTAAAAATGTGTAATGTTGCACAAAAAGGCTGGCAAAGCGAAAAACCGGTTAGTATGGTTAAAATAAATGAAAAGAGAGAAAAGAAAGGTTGACAAATACATTCCTTTTTCAAAGCTTCCAAATTCAATTGGAATGATCTTCACGGTAAAATAGATGATTAATTTTTTTTTGTGCTGCGGTGTGAATGTAAAAGATTTACTGCGATCAGTTACTGTGTAAGGTCTTTACAGTATTATATTATGCATGAAATATGCATAAGTATTACTATTTAAATTAAATTTAGCCATTATTGGCGAATGTCGTCAAACCTTCGTCACTGCGCCAAACACCATACGTATCTATAAAAGAATGCATATTTCAGTCAATTTCATTCAATTTCATTCAATTTCATTCAATTTCATTCAAAGATACACAAACATTCTTCAAAGATGTCTGACGATCTACTAGTCTCAAATTTGTTCTCAGTGAAGGATAAAGTAGCGTTAATTACAGGTGGAGGCACTGGAATTGGTAAAATGATTGCAAAAGCATTCGTGAAGAATGGTGCGATAGTTTATATTGCTTCAAGGAATAAAACAGCTGCTTCAAGAGACAAAACGAGCATTGATGATGGTATATTATAATAATTTTCTAGAATTCAAATTATAAACTGACGTAAAAATAAATAAATCAAATTTTCTATTCATAATAATTATACTTTTAAAAAGTTGCAAGTGAATTATCAGAAATGGGTCCTGGAAAATGTTTTAGTATTGAAGCCAATTTGGATTCAAAAGATGCATGCGAGAAATTGGTTACTGATTTCAAAAATTTAGGAAATGATAAACTCGATATTCTTGTGAATAATTCTGGTACTTGGCATAATTCTGGTTTGACAGATATTCCCGAGGATGCGTGGGATAGAATCTATAGCCTAAATGTTAAATGTGTTTTCTATTTAACGATGGCGTAAGTAATTTCATATATTTTTTGTACAGGTTTATAGCAATAAATATTATCCAAGCTAACGCGCTAAGGGTTTATATATATACTAGCTTTTTACCATTACTCGAAAAGGCCAGTAAAAAACTGGTTGATCCATCAAGGGTTATCATAACCGGAAGCATTCTTGGTATTGTCGGTTTTAAATGGTTACAATATATTTTCTCTTAACGATAATAGCGATACATATTAACAAATTTACATAATCAGGTATCGGTGAAGGCCAGACCAAAGCATTACAAGCACTTGGATTATGTGCCCTAGCTTATAGTTCATCCAAATCTGCCGTACATAGCGTTTCTAAGAATTTAGCTGTGTATCTTACGTATGAAATTATTTTCTTGAAACCATTATATCTTTATATCGAAAAATTAAAAACTATATATATTTTTTGATTAGCCCACGAGGAATAAATGTCAATGTCTTGGCTCCTGGTTATGTTCCCGTAGCGGATAGAATGGCTGAAGTTGATGATCTAAGCGTTAGTGAAATTCCTCAAGGTAATTATTAAACATTAAATCTTGTCCGTTACAATTATATTACTTTTATTACTCAAAATTTACATAAAATTTTATTTTATTTTAGGTCGTGGTGGAGGTGAATTAGACATGGCTGGAGCGGCGTTATACTTAGCTTCGCGTGCTGGTAGTTGGATATCTGGCATTGAGCTTGTAGTCGATGGTGGAACTCTCTTACAATTTAAATTAACGGATGTAGAAAAAGTGCAATTGCCCAATATAAATTAAAAAATGTGCAAAAAGTGCCATTACATTTATGAAAAAATATGTATTTTGCACTAATCATGATTAATAAAATCAGATACAGTATATTTAAAGTTTAACTTTTCTCACTATGCTCATAAGAAAAAAAAATCATTCTTTAGTAATAGAAGAGAAAAAATTAAGATTAAAGGTTGATACAATATTCGGGTTATTCTAGAATGCATCTTTCCATCACTTTTATGACCACTTTACTCTATATTTACGCTTCTGAATATTATTTGCATTGGGCTTTATTTTTTGATTTCAATTAATCATGTATTATCATATTATCAGCAACTTATTGTATGGATATGCAACTAATACAAACGGATCTATATTCAAGCTACGTGGTTTGAATATAAACCCGTGTGTAATTAATTGCACCCAGATAATATTATCGTAGCATACCGAAAATGTGTACCAGGTTGGTGGCGCAGACAAAATTCTTAAAATTCGTTAAGGTTAGGGTTAGGGTCAGGGTTAGGATCTATAGAGGGGTAATTTTTATAGTAAAATTGTCCAACGAAATCTTTTGGTTAGAGCACAAAAGGTGGTTTATTATGCTAATTTTTGAGTTATCTGCGATTTTTGGCAGAACGAACGTTTGTTTTGAATCTTCCTGATCGTGTTACGTTACACTTAATCTTGAAATCTGATTCGTAGTTCAGGAGATCTGTGCCACCAACCTGGTACACATTTTCGGTGTGCATTATCGTACAGGTCTGACGTAATAGTAATAACCCGTGCGACCCGGGTGCAATTAATATCGGAAATTCTATGGACAAAGCTTAGGGACAGAGCAGAATCACGTGGTACTATAAAACCTGCTCTGTCCCTGCTCTGTCCCTCTGTCCCTAAGCTCTGTCCGTAGAATATTCGAATTAATATTAATGCGAAGTGATAGGATATCACGTGATCGAAAAGAAGAGCAAGCACATGACCTGTCACCTCCATGATGCCATTATAGGTAAGGCTAAAAGCATGTGAAATCAGAAAACGGCGCAAGGAAGATCAAAGACAAATAAGGCGCTACGCGGGTATGTATAAAAGTTAGGTACGATGAATAAACGTCCGCAAATGCTTGAACAGAAATTCGCGTGACCCACCCAACCCACCCGTGATGACGACACGTGATTCTATCATTTCCTCACTTGCATTTCTTCACTTGCTTTCTTCACTCACAGCCGGCTTGTTTCAGCAGGCAGGAAATGGCCCCACCAGCTACAATAATCCTACGGCGACTCCCAGCACAATTACGATTGCTTTTTCTCGGGATGTCTTTGCCATTCTGGCCAACTCGGTCAGTTACTTGCTTCTCTAGCACATTTCTGCTATTTCAATAAAAATCACCTCCGGCCTAAATTATTTGCCGGCATAGTCCAAATAAACACAAAATGTTATGTAATGCAAATGCTTTTCGTTAAAAGTATAATGAAAGTATATTAATCGTTTAGTGTAAAAATAAAGTTTTTAGTTGTTAGATGACGTAATTACTTTGTTATAAATATGATTTGTCTTCGCGCAGTAAATTTAAAGTAACTCCTTCTTGATATGTCGAATAGAACTTTAACAATCAATGATTCTGAAGTGCTACAATTTGTAAACTTTTCCTATGTTAAAATACAGAAAACATATCCAAATGGCTTCACCATGTTGATCAGTTTAGAAAGGAAAAAAGTATTGTAAAAACATTAAATGAATTTATAATAAAGCCTCAGCACTAACATTAATATTATGTTAACCAAAATCAAGGATCTTTTAATTATACTACTATAACATCTGCCAATGTAATTTCAATTATTTATTTACATTATTTTAATTTATCTATTAACTTTATTTAATAAATTTTTTTAATCAAAATAAGGTTTTCATTACCAAAAATTGTATGATTCTGAATTTGAACTTTTTACAATGAAGTCTTGATTTCATTCTAAACCCAATATATACTTCAAAATTAACAAATATCTATGTATCAAAATCAACAATCATCTATGCATCAAATCAATAAATGCTTACATCTCAAAACCAACATGTGAAAAGAAACAAATGATGCTAGTGGAAAATAATCATCATAATTAAGTAATCAAAACTGTAAAGATAAGATTAAAAAGTATCAGTGTTTATAGCAAATAACAAAGACTGTAAAGTATAATATAGCAAATTACAAATAATATTATTATTCATTTTTCTGATATCAGCACATCAATTGATCTCAATTTGAAAATTTCTTTCAATAATTAGTTTAAAATGTATTGTTTTTTTTAGTATTAAGGTGACCTTTTAGTCAAGTGTGTTTTTATTGTATAGAAAATTTCATTATACATTTTGAAGAGTATATACTAGCTATATTTGTGCCTTTTGGACATTTATTTAAATAGTCTGCCTATTACTAGATTTTATACTAGTTGTTATACTTATAACTTGTCTACTTGAATTATCTATTTAAACTTTCTACACTTATGTAATTGAGCCTATATCTTTTGCTTCTAGTTTGTATAATCTGTTTTTTAGACTCATTTTACATAATGATTTAGGACATTAAAGTGGATTGTTATCATCTTATTAAACTATTTTTAGTTTTTATCCTTGAGATAAATTTAATAAAGCCTGCTGTATTACTACTCTTATCATATGATTTATGTTTTAGTTAGCATACATAGACTATAGCCAATTACTTATGACTCAAGTTTTACTTATTTAAAAATATTGTAACACTAAATTGAAGACTTTGTTTATAGTTTTTGCTTTCAGTTTTAAACTTTCTCCTATTTCTATTCTATTTAACTCTAGTTTGCTCTAAACTTTACTATTTAATCTACTTCTGTTCTTGTAGAGTTTAGCCAAACTTTATAACTTATTTTACAGTATATGCACAGTACTTTAATAGTCTCTGTTTCCTTTCATCAAACTTCTAATCCAAATAGTCTAGTTTGTATACTTATTTTCTCTATATTTGTTGATAATCTAGCCAGTATTAGTAATTTTATATATTTGACTATTGGACTTCCAAGTTAGATAGCCCAGTTATCCTATACTTTTTCTCTATACCTAGACAGATATCCTTTTGATAAAGTAGCATATTGAGTGTTGTATTATTATCATGACTTTCTAAAGGCTTCTCAGACAAATTATCTAGTCTTTATCTATTTGCAATGGTCTGGTTGGCATAAGTACTTCTCAAAATACCATTTTTTTGTCTAGTTTAGTCTGCCTAAGTTCTATTTTCTGAGTCAAACTTTTATATACAGTAACTTTGTAAAAGATCTGTATACTTTTCTACTCAGGTTTTGCTAAGCAGGTTTTCATATTTGCAGTATTCAGATTTATATAGCCTAGAAGTTTATTTGTATTTGTACTGTCTATTACTAGTTTGTATCCTTTTATATAATATTTCTATTATATGAATACCCAAACCTCCTAGTTTTGCTAGTACAACTATAGCTACTAATATTCTATCTCAACTAATCAACTAAATATAGTTTAGTTATAGCACAAACAGAATTTTCAAATTTTCATTGCCAGTAAGATTTAAACTCTTGATATATTACTTAGAAGATAACAATATAACAACTTTCTTATATCACCACATCCTGTTTAAAATATATTTTATTTTTTAATAAAATATATAATTAATATATTTATCTAGCTAATTGCTAATTTGCATTTTGCTTAGCTAATTACAATTTAAAAAGTAAGCTAATTACAATTTAAAATTATACTAATTACAATGGCAGCTATTATTTATACCCCCCCCAATTTTGTTATTCGTACCCCTAATGATTATTTATTTGAACGATATTATTAAAAATCATGATTGACTGCTAAAATGATCAATATATTTTACTTTTTTGTTA